TTCAGTGCATACATATTCAATCATACACTACGGCCAATTTACTTTACCCAATTCACCTATGCTGCATGTCTTTGGACTGTGGGGGAACTAAAGCACCCGGAGGAAACCTACACAAAAACGGGGAGTACATAAAAACTCGAAACAGAAATGACAGCTAAATACTGAGCCACTGTGCCACCTCTTACGTTTGATGTTTCTATTAGTATATAATTATTGTCACAACATAAAAAAATAAAAAAAAAAACTTGTGACAAAGACCTAAATCAGAACCAGATGGTCTTATGCAAGGAAATATATTTACGATGCCAGTATTGAACTCCAGTGGGTAACATGATGACTATGAACTAAATAAAAAAAGGATGTTTAAGCATGATGTAAATTCCTGTGAACTCACTTCCTTTTTTAATTTTTTTAGATGTCCTTGGCCCATGTTGAACCACATCAGAGTTTATGAATCTAGTTTTGGATTATAGCTTTAACTCACTTGTTTGGAATCCACCAAATTTCAGATGGTTGCATCACAAATGTGCTGATGTATTACAAAAAGTTGACTTAAATGCATTGAAGCAATGGGTCGCCACAAAAGTTTTGAGTAATCTGAACTTATCAGGTTTTACAGAGCACATCGGCACAGGGATTTGCACAAGTTGGCTGTATTCACAGATTTAATATATAAAATTGTTAAGTTTTGGTTTTCATGTAATTAATAACATGTTTTCCTGAAACAACACTGAAAAAAGTTGAACTACTATTGTGAGGTCACTCAAGGTACACTTTTGTGTTGGATTATGTGAAAAAATATTGTTTCTGTCTCAGTCCTGTTTTATTCAATTTGCCTTAAATAGCCCCTATTATGGGTTTTTGAAAATGACCTTCCATGCAGTGTTTAACACGGCTCTAAGTGAAGTGAAATATCCAACTAAGGCTTAAATCTGAAAGTTCACCGTGTCTAAAACTGTTGATTCATCTATAAAAGAGTCTACTCAAAGTGGGTTAAACAAATCGTCGGGGTAATGCATCTTTAGCTGTGTCGGCGTGATGTTGATATGAATCTCAAGCCCTGCCCATTTGTTGCACGTGCAGACCTGGGAAACCTCCACCTACAAGCACTGTAGAAAGAAAAAGGCAAACACTGTAGCAGATCCTGGTTGAATCATGTCGCGCAGACACTGAGTATGAGGGAAAGTTAGGGATATTTCCCCTACCCAAAGATGAAACTGTGAAGAGTCTGTGGTTGAGGTTTATTTTTGCAAAAAAATACCTCAGCATTATAGCCCCAGCCTTGTGCTGTGTTCCTTGCATATTTCTGACAAGTGCTTTAGTATTTACACGCTTACAATGGGGGATTCATCAACCGTTTGTTAAAGGAACGATCAGAAAAGACTATTGATATATGGGACTTTCAAAGCTTGGCAGGAACTACAGTACACAGTTCATGAATCAGTTCCTATCTCCATTTCACAAGTGTAAGTAGCTTGAGTGCTGTAATGGGGAATAGTGACGCTGACAACAGGGTTTAGATTCAAATGCAGGTTTATTAGGGAAGCAAGGTCAACACGGGAAAACAGATGTATGCAGGTAATCCAGAAACGTCATCAAAGTAACAGGCAAGTGGTCAGAAGGCAGGCGGCAGACAGGAATGCATCGATAAACAAGGCGAGGATCAAAACACAGAAAAAACCAAGACAAAAGAAAACGTGTTTTAGTGTCACTAAAACAGTAGACGAGACTCCGCGACATAGTGTGTGTAGTGCTGCTTACGTAGTCCATGAATCAGTCCTTGAGCAGCTTCAGCTGTGAGAGTGTAATCAATCAGGATCTGGAACCGGTGGTGTGTGTTGCATGACTGAGAGTTGTAGTCCATAACATGGCGGATTTGTAGTTTATTTGAATGTGAGTGTTTTTACCAGTGATCTCTAGTTGTAGATCGCTGGTGATTGTTCACGTGGGCTTTCTCCGGGATTTTTGGTTTCCCTCGAAGACATGCGCTATAGGGGAATTGGGTAAGCTAAATTGTCTGCAGTGTGAATGTAAGAGTGTATTTGTGTTCCCTAGTGTTGTGTTGCAGCTGGAATGGCATCCGCTGTGTAAAACATATGCTGGATAATTTGGCGGCTCATTTCGCTGTGGCGAGCCCTGATTTATAAAGGGACTAAAGGCTGATTTATACTTCTGCATCAAGCGCACACGTATGCTAAGGCGCAGCCTACGCATCAATGCATAGCCCTTCGCTGTGGCCGTCGGCGTCGCTGACGTGCACCTCTTAAAAAATGTAACTACACGTCGCAACGACGTGTAGCACAAGCTCAGGGATTGGTCGTCTTGGTAGCGCTGACGAGTCTGGGTGGGACTGAGAGCTTTGCGAACAGTGCGAGCCAGATGGAGCGATTGTTTACTAGTGTGGATTCCCGTGAAGGAGCTCCAGATGAAAAGTTTTGTTTTTTGTTTACCTCATAGTTAAAGTTATTGCACGTCCGCCAGTTCCTGCCTCAAAATGAGCCAGTTTGAGCCACTTTTACATTCAGGAAGTGTTCAGAAAAAGTAAAACAGCAGCGAAGAAACCTGACACAGAGGAACATTAACACCTCACTGCCAACTAGCGTTTTGGTAGTGTTAATGCAGACCAACGAAGACAGCGTGCAGAAGTATAAATGCACAGCTACGTGTATTGCATGCGCCATGGGTTACACCGGTCACTTGACGCAGAAGTATAAACCAGGCTTAAGCCAAAAAAAGAAAATAAACGAATGAATCTAATCCTTTTCCTCACCACGGTAAATATGTTTGATTAAAATTCAATGACATTTTTAAGTTTGAACCAAAGTTAAGTTATACTTTGGAAAAAAAAAGCTGTAACAAATTACAGTAAGTATTTGAAATTAGTTCAATGTGTAATTATATAGTGCGTGCCATTAATACATTCCCAAATTCTGTTTTAATATCCATCACGTTTTCCTTTGTCTTCGTCCCTGATTATCAGTGTTCACCACAGTGTAATGAACCACCAATTACTCCAGCATATGTTTTAAGCAGCAGATGCTCTTTCTTGAAACCCATACACACACACACACACACACACACACACACACTATGGACAATTCATTTAATCCAATCACCTACAGCGCATGTGTTTGGACTGTGGGGAAACCGGAGCACCCAGAGGAAACCCTCGCGAACATGTGGAGAACATGCAAACTCCACACAGAAATGCCAACAGCCCTAGCCAGGAGTCGAACCAGCCGCCTTCTTGCTGTGAGGTGACAGCGCTAACCATTAAGCCACTGTGCCGCCTTCTGTTTTAATGTATATTTATATATTACCTAACTTTTCTTCATCAGAGACATTATTTTAAACACACCGGGTATAGTGTGGAATAGATTATTCGCATCTTAAAACTTCCCTCAAGATCTGACTTTAGCTGTTGCATCTTGCTGAGTGATGGGAATAATGTGGAAAGAGATGGCTGTTGCTGTTGCTGCTGTGAAGGAATAGAAGAATAGAAGAAAAAAGCTCTGCATGGATATGTGAAGGAATAGGGAAGTTTGTTGCATAATGATCAACAGGGATGTTTTACAGGGATGAAGAGGCAAGTCATTAATATGACAGTGTGTGCACTATATGTTTTATAAATATATTATGAATCAATGCATGTATGGATATTGGTAGAGCTGTTTTCACTCTGAGATTGCTAGTAAATTTCAGTCATTACATTCATTTGTGTAGCACTTTTATATAGGCTAATTTAAAGGGATAGTTCACCCAAAAATCAAAATTCTGCCGTCATTTGCTCTTTGTTTCACTTGTTGCAAACCATCTTGAGTTTTTTTTATTCTCTTTTTGCCTGGTCTGATGAGTCTCGATTTCTGCTGCGACATTCAGATGGTAGGGTCAGAATTTGGCATCAACAGCATGAAAGCATGGGTCCATCCTAACTTGTATCAACAGTTCAGGCTGGTGGTGGTGGTGTAATGGTGTGGGGGATATTTTCTTGGCACACTTTGGGCTCATTAGTACCAATTGAGCATAGTGTCAACCCCACAACCTACCTGAGTATTGTTGCTTACCATGGCTATTCCTTTATGACCACAGTGTACCCATCATCTGATGGCTACTTCCAGCAGGATAACACACCATGTCATGAAGCGCGAATCATCTCAGACTTGTTTCTTGAACATGACAACGAGTTCACTGTACTCAAATGGCCTCCACAGTCACCAGAGCTCAATCCAATAGAGCACCTTTGATTTGTGGTTGAACGGGAGATTTGCAACTGAAGGATTTAGGCAGTTCTGAGGGCAAAAGAGGGTACAACCGATTACTAGGAAGGTGTACCTAATAAAGTGGCCGGATAATGTATTTTGCTTAAGGGGGCTAATACTATTGATCTTAACATTTTTTCATTTTTTATTATTTTTTTAATGCTTTTATCTTAGCCAAAATAAAACACATAAGACTTTCTCCAGAAGAAAAAAAAAACATCATTGGAAATACCTTGAAAAATGTCTTGCTCCGTTAAATATAATTTAGAATACAATAAAAGTTGACTTCAGCTGTACATTTGTAGAACACTGATGGACTTTGGATGCATTTTGAAACACTTCTGCAAAAGCGTTAGTGCTGTTTTCGAAGGTTAACGAGTTGTTTTACTATCCAGAAATCACAGCATGCTAGGTTTGCAATGACACGAGGGCATTTTAAGGTGAACTGTTCCTTTAAAAAGTGATTGAAATGGCTCATTTAAATGCGTTTTTGTTCAGCCGTGCTCCGCTGTCATTATACCTCCACTAGTCTCCAGGGCTTTCCTCAGACTTCAGCTCCTTAACACTCATTTTTCTGACCTGATGTGCTCTGTTGTGCTTTTAACGTTGCGCCATGCATTTTTAAAAGCAGTCATGTAATATTAAGCCCAAAAAGATGTCAGAAATACCCTAAAATGTGACTTTCTTGTGTTTTCTTGAACTTGGTAACCAATTCCTACTTGTTTATTTTTTGTTTTTCAG